AAGCGTTCCAGAAATCAACAAATTCATCGTACAACAAACATACATTCAATCGTCAAAACATCATTTAAAAAAAAACTGAAATTTCCAATTTTTTTTGCAACTTAGTGAAATTTCCAAAAAAAACACATAAAACATCCTAAATAACATTATTTATACAATTCAAGGCGTGGCTAACTTTCAAAGTCTCACATATAATATCTAAAACAGGGAACAGATAGGGGTTTACATACCCCATATATAATATCTATATATATATATGTAGATATATAAACTATATAATACATGAACTTGTTAATACATGATGTATTAGATGATTCTATCCATAAAAAAACACCGACGAGGCTGCTCCGGGAATCCTGGACTGGTCCTATTGCTGTGGCCCACGCACCCTTGCTGGGTGGGGTGGCCGAGGGCCGACTTCGTGTGAGCGATTGATTTCCCCTGGTAAACAGACAGTTTTGCTATGGAAAATGGCCATTTATAGTGGATTTTCCCATGAAATTATGGTGATTTTCCATAGTTATGTTGGTTTACCAGAGGGTAATTATAGCTGAATTGCATGGGAATTCATCATCAATACCATATTAATCTTAATTCGTCAGCTATAATCATTCCAGTTATTGTATCTTAAGGGAAACGGGTCTCACAATGCCACGTTTCTGTTGGGAATGGCATGGAATGACACTATCATCATTGATAATCATCATCCCTATTCATTGAACTACCACTTGATGATGATTATCCCACATATAATATATTCAGTTATCAATTGATTTCCAATGATCTGTGCGCGGGGGACATGTAAAGAACCACCATTTCCACATCGCAGTCAAGTCAAGGTATTGCTGCGGCATGTTTTCTTCTTGAATTACAGCAACAAGGAAAGAGGAACCTTAGGTTTATCCGTGATGTAATGTGGTATACACAGCTGCCATATAATGGGTATATCATGAGATATAAGCAACCAACACTACTCGTATGTTCAAATATTATGGCTATATGATGGGTAATGTGGTAAACCCATTGCCATAAACCATCCCCTTTCAGTGGTTTATGAATTTGGGTATGCCTCTATTTGGGATGATGTAAATGACCCAAGTCATGATTGGTTAATGGGATGGTTGTGATTGGGTTTACCACATGGAAAAAAACAGCAAAATCATATAACCGTGTATCATATATCCATAGATATCCCATATGTCTCATCAGAGATTGCCAGATTTCATCAGACTTTTTAACACTGCTAGGTGTGGACAAGCACTGGTGCTACGCTATGCAGGTCCTTACTGCAGGACCAAGGGACGGAAGGGAGCGACCACTGCCAGTTTCTATTGGTTTTTGCTATGAATCCATCACTGCTCGGTGGTTCTATGTTTGTTTGAATGATCTATGTTTGGATAATGCATAATGGATATTATACATATATATATATGATATCCCAGTAATCAATAGATCCATCGATAATTATGATAATGATTGGATATCTGGATCTAGGTTTAAGAGATACCTATATTACATTATATTACTGGATAATATAAAATCATATCCTATGTGCTAAAGTTAGTACTAAACCATCGGGGTTCTCGCACAGTTGGTCATCCCACAGGACACCATGGCCAGAAGTTGCGCCGCAGGGCCAAGTTTGGGATGGCTAGGGTTTTCCCAACAAAAACTTCATAGCTGGTTGGCAGTTTCAAACATGGCGTTTATTTTCCATTTCATATATGGGATGTCATCCGAAACCCATTGACGAAGTCCATCATTTTTCAAGATGGTTAAAACATGTTAAAACCACCAACCAGATAGACATGGTAGTATTTTCCAGCCACCTTTGATGACACCCCTGTGGATCTGGTGGAGGGTCGATACCCCTTTGCGCAATCCCACTTAGGTGTAGGCTTACACATGCCCATGACGGATCCATGGTGCTGGTATATATGCTAACATCACTGGGGTATATTGATAGGATCCATGTTACTATATATAGCAGCACCATGGATCCTATGGGTGCTTACACCCATCACATAACATTTTCGAGTTTTATGTATCCAACTATATCATATTCTGTGCAAACTTCCAGTTGGGTGTAGGATCATGGCATATCGCCACTTTTTTCATGAACACATTGACGATCATGTTTGTTGCTGGTTGGTGGTTTCAAACATGGCTTTTATTTTCCATAATATATGGGATAATCCTCCCCATTGACTTTCATATTTTTCAGAGGGGTAGGTCAACCACCAACCAGGTTGGTTAACCACCAGACTTTGATGGTTTCTGTTGTTTCTGGGATCATGCCACTATTCCTAACCATCATTTCCCGAAAAAAAAAACTAACTCAGTGCCAAATGATAGCATTGGGAATCCCCATATTCTGTCCCTGTATTCTATCTCCATGAATTTCCCCATAAAAGGTCTATATGATCCCATCTTTGATACATAAACCACCAGTTGTGACCATTTTTCATAGGAAAAACACCCAATGTTGCTTAGTTCTTCATAGTTCTTCCAATTCAACCACGTCAAAATTCATTCATTGGATTGATTTGAGGACAATTTACAGGAATCCCCTATATTGTGAAAAGAGGAAAAGGATGTTTTCCTACAGATTTTCCCAAAACCAATCCATGAAATACAGAAAAAGTCCATTTGGTCTCCATTAAGATCCATTAAGCCCAAATGTCAAAAAAAAGCATCAGAATCCATCTTGTCTCCATTAAGATCCTTAAATTTTCGTCAAAATTTCCCAACAAAAAAACCATCCATTGATCCATTGGGTTCATCGGATCCCCATTCTTTTCCCACCGGCCGAGGTTACGCCCTGAGCTGTGAGGGCTATGGCAGCGCCAGTCGAGTCAAGCAGCTCTCAGCGGCTCAGGCGGGGTGGCCGGAATAGCCCAGGTAATCAATGGTAAAATCTAGGATTAATATGGCAGTGTGTCAAAACCTTGTACCCCTGGTGAACATCAAAATAGCTGGTAAATGGATATTCATCCCCCTAAAAATGGTATTAATAGGTGTTGATCCATACCCATATGGGATTAATGATTTAATGACGGTTAAACAATGGTTTAATATGGCTAATGTACTAATGATGGTTAAATAATGGTTAAATAATGACTGAAACTTAGAATATCGCCGGCGTTTCCGAAATGAGATACCCAGAACTTCGAATATCACCGTTTTGGGGCGTCCGCATATGGTGAATGCTGGCATTTTATGAAGATTAGCATAAATCACCAAACAACAGAAACACCTTCCAGATTCCAAACCATGTTAAATAAGTATGAACTAGTTATATAGTAATGGTTGGATATGGGATTAATGATGATTAATAATGGATATGGGATTAATGATGATTAAGAATGGTTAAATATGGAATACCCCCTAGTCAATAATATCTAAGACTAGTTATATAGTTACATATATATATGGAATAGCCCAGCTAATAGGGCTGAATATGATTTTGATGGGAATATAATCAGAATACAATGGGATTTAACTAGCAAATATGGGAATGTAATGGTGATACAATGGAATATAACTGGATGAATTCTAATGACCTCACTGTTTTCCGTCACTGGAATGATGGGCATTGGATTCGGGGAATCATTCCCAAATGGCCAAAAACATCTAGCTATTTGCAGGTTAGTGAATCATTGTGATTCAGCCAGATGAATGGTTCATTAATGGTTGATAATTGTTATATAATTAATGGTATTAATGGTTGATAATTATAGGAGATTAACCTGGCATATTGGATGCGATGGGATATACTGTAAAGATTGTATATAATGGACAGTAACAATCCAAAATAGTATATTGTGATTATTTAGTGGGATAATAGTGGGATATATATATATATTGTATAGAAATCATATAAGCATGCTTGGTGATTGAGAGTAATGGTATGCAACCACTATAGTGGGAGAATAGTCCATTCAGAATTTGCGATATAGTGTGGGATACATCACCAACAAGATCATTTGGGTCCATCAATAAATGATAATTTAACTACCAGCAATAACCATCATTAACCATCATTAACCATTGAATTTGGGCTAGTTGTTTCCTAAGATCATTAAAAACCAACAACCATGATATGAGTTTACAAGAATGATCAAAGATTGGAGTGTGGGGTATCACCCAGGCATTTTTGAAGTTTTTTTTTCCCGCTGCTTGTGGATGCGATGTTACTCTTTGGTTTCCTGAAATCCGATCAGGTGTACCTTCAAACGGCAAGCACTTGATGTAGGGATAACTCAATGGCCATTTCAGGAACCGATTGATTGGAGGTACCGATTCCATATATTTTGGGCCTATGTTTCAGGCCTATGTTTCAGGACATATCCCCACAAAATATGGCCAAAAATATGGTACAGTCCATTTTAGGATCCTGAAGATCTCCCATTGAATAACTGGATAGCTGGAGAACTTCTTGTCCGACAAGCACGGAATCACAGGGATCTGGATGGTGGATTTTGTGGCGGGCTAACCACATCCAAGTGGTACCCTCTGGTTATGTCAAGTTTTGCTATTGAAAATGGCTATAGAAATAGTGGATTTTCCCATTAAATTATGGTGGTTTTCCATAGTTATGTGAAAGTTTACCAGAGGGTAAACATGGTATACCCAACCCAGCCTATTCTAAACCAAGGATTCTGGACTAATTTGGTCAAGACATGTCAAGACTCACGGTGGAATTTGGTTGAATCCAAGCAGAGATCCACCAGAACCTCGAGAAGTGGGTAGATCAGCTCCCTGTGATGGTCGAAAATCTCAGAGAGGACGAGACTCCCAATGACTGATCCAAGCGTCGTTGCAAAGTCATGGGGACTGGCTACTGTAGATTCTTCAAGCAATTTGAGAGCAACGATTTCCAAAAATACCGAGGCGCCATGTAAATTGTTGATGTTCCGTGATCAAGTATTCAAGTCACCCATTTTCAACTGGGTTGTGTGTTGTTGGTTGGGTTTCCATTTCACTTCTGAATTTCTGCTGGGTTTGTTGATACTTAGCTGAGTTTGTTGATAAACTAGACTAACCAAGGATTATGCTGGATATACGCTCTGGTAAACTAACATAGTTATTTCTATGGCCATTTTCAATAGCTTTTTGTATGTTGACCAGAGGGTATCGGTATCGACCCCAAGTCTACATGCTCTGCATGAAGTGGCCAGGCCAAAGAGTCGAAGCACTTTGAGGCACGCTATGAGTTCGACACCATTGGGTGGGGTGGAATGGTAGGAATGAAGCTAATCACGACCTCACTGCGACCGAACCCTGGAATCATGGTTAATAAGGGGAATCATCATAGTTATATATAGTGAATTATAGTGATATATAACCAATATAGCATAGTAATTTAGTAATATAGAATATACCTCGCATATAGTGATATATATATATATACTGGTTGGTGGTTTGGAACATTTGGATTATTTTTCCATGTATTGGGAATAAGGTGAACAACTGACTAATATTTTTTCAGAGGGGTTGAAACCACCAACCAGTAATGGTTACTAGTGTTATCTAATGTTTACTGGTACTAATGGTTACTTATGGTTACTAATAGTTATGTACTCATATTGTACTATAATTACCGATGGTTACCAATGGTTTCTAATGGTTTAAGATTGGTAATGGTTAATGGTGGGAATTATAATTAATGTTGATGAATGGTTTCTAATGGTACTAATGGTTACTAATTGGGGTCCTTGCCAGTTTACTCATAGTTATAGTTACCAATTTAACTTACCAATGGTTCCTAATAGTTACCATTTGGTGTGCAAGAAACACTCGGGACTATCATGGGATAACTATAACTATCGCTAAGTATTGGTAAATGATGGGATCATAGTGAGATACATTTTGCCCACCAACTGCAGGATTTTGCAACCTTCCACAGGAAAATAACCATACATCAGTATGTATAAACATATGATAGATACAGATCCAAGATAAATTTGAATGATGGTATATACGTATATATATATATATATGCATATGGCATATATATATAATAGGTGATACATATTTATACCACGTCTATACTGTATCTGATCACTAGAAGCACATACAACTGATGACTGACTGCCAACTTTTTAATAGTTGTTTGAAAAGGGTATGCATAGCTTCCATATTATGTAGATATACAGCTAAATTGGGACGTGGGGTGATATGTGTTTCTTGAACATCCCTGAAGACTTCTCTTACGCCTTCATTAAGGAATTTAGCCATGTCCTTTCGAGTTTCAGAACAAGGCATGCTAGCTGAAATCTGAGGTGCCCCCCAAACCGAACCCCCTACTGTAACAATTGGGGTCAAACAAGTAACAACCCCCAGAAAACAGCTGTGATTGGTGTTTGGAACCCTGCAGGCCATCGTTGTTGTAATTCCATTACAATTTAATATCAGATAATATCAGTAGATCTATTCTTGGTTTAGAAAATCACCCTCCCCCCCCAAAAAAAACACACATGGATCCCAGCTTATGTCCTATAAATCATGGTTGATTTTATACAGGGTTGGTAAATGTACTAATTTTTCACATCCCCCAAATATTGTTGATTTATTATCTCCAACAGATACCTTTTTCAAGTGATGTGAAACAAATCCCCAAGCCATGGGACATTTACATACATTGACCAAACCCATGGGAAATCCACTACTTGGGGAATCTATAGCGAATATTTTTTATTTTTTGGTGGTTCCTTAAGCAAATCCATGATTTTATACCAAGATGTTCCCGATGAACAACGGTGGTTTAACGTGGCACCATTGCCACCAACTATGGGGCCCAGGCGCTGACTGCACGCATGGTCAGCACCGCTTGGCGGCCTTGCGACTTGTTGCGGCTACTGGCGGTGGTTCCTGGGCTGCCGCCGCGGCCGTGGGGTAAATTAAAGATTAACAATGGCTAATGGTGGTGAATGATGATTCTGGGTAAATTATAACGACCTCACTGCGACCTCACTGGAAATCATGGTTAGTAAGGGGAATCATCCCAACATGGCCTTATTTCAGGTTAGTGAATTATTGTAATTTGCCCAGAATGATTACTGTTGATAAATGGTTGATAAATGGGTAATACCCTCTGGTAAATTCATGGTTAATGGTGAATTAAATGATGGTTAATGAAGAGTGAATGGTCTATGATGGTTAATGAATTAATTAAAGTAACTTCATGCAAGTCTATAATGGTTAACGATTTTTAATGATGACTATATAGTGAGGTTAATAGTGGTGAATGATAATTAATGGTGATGGTGATATAGCCTCTGGTAAATTAACAGTTGGAACCTGAAGATAATTCATTGTTTAGTAGGAATCAATCTTCCAACCGCCGACCGCTATGTGGTAGGGCCTATGTTAATTTACTGGAGGGTAAATGGTGGCAATGATAAACTAGACATATTCAATGGATATGAATTAAACCAGGTTAATTTGGGGTTTATGGGGAATATAACTGCAGCTACTGTAGTGGGCCTCACCTCCTAGATCTATTAAAAGGGATACCCTCTGGTTATTTAACATAGCTATCGAAGCCATGGCCCGTTTAGATCGTTGATCTATGTTGATTTACCATGATTTACCTATGAAATAACATGTTGATGTCCCATATGTTTTAAAACAAAAACACATAGGGGTAGTAATTAAACCCATTCTTCAACCACTATTCACTAACTATGTGGGACCAGATTCTTCATCCCCGACGATAGAATCGTGTGCCAGGTGAAATCCGTTTTGAAATCCGACCCGCCCCAACAACCCACCAGTGTCCCTAGAGGGTTATGAAATCTTATTACTCCAGGTTTAAGATCATAAAAAAGTACCTAGCAGTTCTTAGTTCTCGGTGTTTCATGTGATTTTAGTTGTTCAACCGTTGTTCATTAATGGAGTTCTATGTAAATGATTGACTGTGAAGGTTGGTACTTCCATTCACACACTTGATGCTTCATGTATGTGTTGAATACAAATGAAAAGGCAATGTACTCCTACTAATTCACTTTTTCTCAGGGCTCTTTGGTACAACCATCCAATTCAGAGTCCATGGGAAATTGACTCTCCTTTTCGGCGGTACCCAATGACTCATGACTGTAATCCAACATTAAGAATTGGCCCTATGAACAATGGTGACATCAGATAGTCAAACACGTGGATGGCTGGAAAATCGCAGATGTTAGTATATTTTCATGGGAATGTGAACATCATCGAGAATATTGAATAAACATAGAGAGGTTCCAGCCAGGTTTCATTCGAAAACACATGGACCTTCACTTAGGATATCGACATTCCCAGGACGATGTCCAACAGCCCAAGAAGTATCATACTAACCACTGTTTCCTGGACTTGAAGGTAACAAGACATCAGGGCTTTACCATTGTGCATATTTGCTGGGAAAGAACTGGAAAACCTGGAACAAACTTGGAAAAACCATGGAAACACTTGGAAACACCATGGAAAAACCATGGAAACACCATGGAAAAAACCATCAAACCTGCAGGATTTACCATCAAGATCTTCACAGCTGTTCACCGAGCCGTTGAATCCCGGCCCAGTTTCCCTTCCTGCGAAACGACTCGGAAAAGTTCCATGCCTTCTGGACCCGTCGCTTGCGTCCCTGTGCTAAACGTTGGTGGAGGGTGTGGAGGTGCTTGGAATAACGAGGAACAACATGATGAACAAGATTATATAAATCTACGTATATATATAGTTTATATCTATCTATAGGAATTTCATCATGGTTATGATATGTTATGATCATAACAATCTCAATGAATGATGATTGGGAAAAACAAATATGACAACACAACGAGTTTCTCCAAAAATGTGATCTCTGCACCGCGATTTTGGATGGATTACCCGGGGTATACTTCCACTACTGAATATATCACCGTCGGAGGGGTTACCCGGCCTGGTAAACTGTCACAGAACTATGGAAAATCACCATTTTCAATGGGTAAATCCACTATAAATGGGTCATGTTCAATAGCTATGTTAGTTTACCGGAGGGTATAGCATAATCATAATATATCTCAACTTACAGAGATCATCAGGATGGTGATACTGTGTTTTTTTGCCAGTTTCAGAAATGTTTCATAGACACCAAGTCACCAGTCTTATGGGTTGTATAACTCCCATCCCTAAATGGTGAGCAGAACAGTTACCCTCTGGTCATTTAACATAGCTATGGAAGCGCCCATTTACAGATGAGTTTCCTAGCTATAAACCTCCGTTTATCATGGATTTTCCAGTTCGCCATGTTAAATAATTCCCTTAACATAACCAGATATCTGGTTATAAATTCCCTATGTTTATCTGGCTTCATCTTAAATAAGTCCCTTTAAACATAAGCTATCTGGTTATAAATTCCCTATTGATCATGGGATTTTCCCTGAAACAACAACCAGATAGTTTCCCATTTAAATAACCAGAACAGTTATCCCCGAAGTTCCAGGGCATCGGCCGCTCGAGGTGACAAATTGTTGCCAGCCTTCGGGCGTCCGACAAGGGAGGAGTTGGCGCACCTGGCGCGGCTTATTCGGTGGGATTCATCGAGGATTCAATCGGGATGAATGTTATACTGTATTTATATCTGGTTGGTGGTTTCAAACATTTTTTTTTTCAATAATATATGGGATAATCCTTTCCATTGACTAATATTTTTCAGAGGGGTTGAAACCACCAACCAGATATAATAATAATATATATATATATAATCTGGGTAAATTATAACGACCTCACTGCGACCTCACTGGAATCATGGTTAGTAAGGGGAATCATCCCCCAGATAGCCTTATTTCAGGTTAGTGAAATATTATAATTTACCCAGATAATACATATAATAATATATATATGTATATATACATATACATAGTCAAGAGATGTCAAGAGTATTTGATATATGTTTTGGATGTGTCAAAACATGGCCTATAGACCCCTGGCATGTTATGGCACTTTGACTAGGGTTCCCGCACATGAAAATGATTCCATAAATATATATATATTATATCATTTATAAAACTCCCTCACTCTGGTAATTCAACATGGCTGTGGAAAATCACCAAGTTTAACATGTTTTCCGTAGAAATCGTGATTTCCCAGTTCGCAAATTGTAAGAAATTACTGGGAGAACATCAGAGGGTATATATATATGTATACACAGTCCAAAGACAAGATGCCTAAAAGCAGTTCACCACTATCTTAGATTGGGATTTGACTGTTCTATCATACACATACACATAAACATATATACATATATACACATGTACGTGTATCTATATATATACATATAATGCGGTAAAGTCAATGCAACAACCTACCATTCGGGGATGGTTTTAACACCCATAAAAACGGTGATGACTGGGGATGGTTTATTCGTTGGTATATATTATTCATCCATTCATCTAGATTTAACCATTCTAAACCAGTATTACCCAGTATTGCTGTAACCATTACTAATCATCATCAGCCATTATTTAACCGTCATTAATCCCATATTAATCCCAGATTAACACTTCTTAACCAGTACTACCCAGTATTAACCTTTATTAACTCGGGTTTTTGTGTTCCCCATCTTCCATTCACCCGCCTATGGCCAGGCCAAAGTGCGGAAACGCCAAGAGGAGTTGTGGCCACCACCACCACCGAAGGCATGAAACTTCGAATTGGGGTATAAAGCCAACCACATGATTTCCTATTCAAATACTCTATACATGTGTGTTTATTTGTTGTTCATGATTCATACTTATGAGATGTTTACAGATTTGATGCTTTTGAGATGCGATGATTGTGGAGTTATGTTAAGGATATAGTTAGTTGTTGCCATGACAGAGAATGTTTCTGGAACCCAAATTTGAGTCTGAATAATTATAGACTATATATATATATATATTTGTTTATATATATATACATATGTGTATATATATACACACCCTAATATACATTATATATATACACTGTTTAATAATATACATAATATATACTATATATGTATATACACATAATAGTTTATATATATATATAGAATGAGAGAGATAGGGACTCTTCAGGCTCTTGTTCTGCTAGGTGGAGCCTCTGCCCTCACCAAAAGCGGAAGCGAAAGCGGAAGCCAAGGCATCCCCGAAGCTGGAGCCCCAGGTGATGACTTGGGCGAAACGGGTGGTGTCAGCAGCCCCAAACTGATGGTTTCACCGGGAACAACGAGGATTTCAACGCGATTTAACGATGAAACATGATGCTTCAACAGGGTTTAACTGTTTAACCATGAAACATGGTGATATATATATATATAATGTAAAAATACTAAATCGATACAAAGGGATGTAACTACCAAACAAGATCAATTTGATGAATCAGCAAACATGGGGATTGATAGCTGACTTATGACAAGTAAGTTGGGTCCAACTTATTAGCTCAAAGGGTTCACCCAATTGACCATGGCAGGTCGCTCAACTGGTGATGTTATTTGCTACTAAAATGGTACAGTTAAACAGCCCTGGGGGTTCTTAATCCAGGGTTGGCATTTAGCATCATCAGTTGATAATCATAACTACTAATATCATGATAATAGTTACTGTCACGAATAGATAATATCAACCTATGTTAAACGAACATATGACTAGATTCTTAGAAACTACTATAGAATGACTGTCTACATTATCAGATAATTACGCATATATATATATACACATTCAACCTATATTAAGCTAATACAACCCAACATGAATATCGAAACATCAACCTTAATATTAAACCTGCCTATATTAAGAACTGTTCTTGGTTTCTTTTGCCGATGATCCCCCAGTCCGGCTGAAAATGGCCTGCCAGCAGGCCTTCAGAAGCGGCCACGTCATCCTGGAGGTCCCTGGTTTTCGGCACTGGGGGAAAAGAATGTTGGGCTTGACTAACCAAATCATGGATGGTCAAACAATCCGCATACTGTAATCCACGGCCAATTTTTTGTATTTTTTCCAACCGCCCAATTCTCCGCAAACTGCAGAGCCAGGTATGATTGGAAGTCCAAGCAGCGAAATGACCACTACAAGGAGGGCTGGAGCGACCACTGGAAGCATTGGAATTGGAGGGATCAGAAGGATGACAGGAATGATAGGAAGGATGTCCGAAAAGAAGACCGGCACCTCGGAAAAAGGGGAAATTCGCAATTGAAACGGATTTCATGGGATCTATTAGGATTTTAATATTCCAACCTCCAGTAAATTGCAACAGTTGGACCCTGAAAATCGATTTATTAGTGGAAACTAATTAATCTTCCAACCCCCACTGATGGGAGGATGTTACATAGTTGGGGGGAGGGTGTTTATGAAGATGTAAACCAACCCTATCATTCCCCCATCATAAAAGGCCAGGGCTCGCTCGCGACTTAATCTACCCATAGACTGCATGAGTGCTGATGAACCCCTTATTTTGGTTGTTCAAAACCACAGTTTGGCATATCAGGTAGGGGCACACCTTCATGATGATCATGAATCATGATGGGTACAACCGCTTCTTTTGCTGACCTTAACATCAGTGTTTTTTTTTGGAATTGCTGTATCTAGGGGTCCCCAAAAGGCTAGAAAAGTCTTTTCAACATGTTATAGATGATGATTTTCTCCCAATTTCCAGCTTTCCAACTTCTCTATCTATTTGGGGGTTGCTATATCCCCAAAAATATTGTGCCGTTTCTTGGAGTGATCATCGACCAGCTGATGTTGGGAAGAATCAGCCACAAATTGACCCAACCGTTAGGGCAATAAATCTTTGAAGATACCCTCTGGCAATTTTAACGTAGCTATTGAAAATGATCATTTATAGTGGATTTTCCCATTAAAAATGGTGATTTTCCATAGTTATGTTAGTTTACCAGAGGGTAAGTAGTTTTTGAAAGACTTTCCATTGCCTTATGTTGGTCTCTCCCGGAATGGGGGGGCTATGGGTAATTTGAATGGGGAACAGGATGAAAAAATCATTGGATTTGGGGGTGTTCCTTAAATGATCAGACAAGCCTCACACTCTTCAGCCCCTGTGCCGCGTTTTCCAAGGTATCGCAGGGATAATCGTGATAACCGTGATGCTTGGAAGGAAGATCGACATTCGAAGAGAAGGGAAAGCAGAAGCCCTGAGAGGAAAAAGAGCCGAAAGGAAGAGAACACTGTGAAGAAGGCCCATGGGAGGAGAATGTTAGGATGGTGAAAACATAGAACGCCTATTACTGGAAACCATCAAACATGGAACTTTAGAGAAGTTAAATTTGAATATGTTTCAATCAGCTTGAGAGATTTAAATCTCGATAGTTTTCTGTGTTAAATCCAGCAACAATACGCCCCTCATGGTGACCCCCGGGGAAGGGGTCCCACAGGCCGATCGACGAAGGCCGGGTCGGCAACGGTACCATGGGGTACCATGGGGTACCACGGGTTTAGATCCACATCCATATCATCCATAGCCATGTTCCTCGGCACTTGTTGATGATCCGCGAGATTTCAAGAATCAATTCAGTGCCGCAAGAAGCGGATCCAATTGCCTAATAAATGTTTGATATCTTTGTCAGATTTATTGGTACATACTGGGGCTGATTCTCTAGAGGTTCGACCCATCCAAGAACTGTTCTTATCGTTTGTGAAGAAACATAGCAGTTTTGGGGGCAATGTTTTTGAACAAATTGGACTATCATACCACGAAGTGACATAGACCCTGCCAAATAGGCGCTTAGAAGACTACGTTGTTGCAAAATGTTGTAAAAGTGAATGATGAACTACGGGTCTGTGTCAGTTAAATGATGATATTCTGCCCATGATCCAAACAGAACATGTGTTTTCCGTGGATCCCCCGTATGGCCATGGCCATGATCATCCCGGATCCTCAAAAATGGAGGTTTCGAGGGCTACTTCCCGGTACCCCAAATATCCCCAAATCATCCATTTCTGGGGATTTTCCCTGAAACCATCCAGCAGGGCGATTTCTAGGGATTTTCCCTGAAATAAACCAGCTTTTTTCGGGGTACCTCCATGACTATGGAAACCCAAAAAAGCCATGGCCATTTTTTCGGGAGAACGACCCGGAGAGCGACCCTGTCAAGGTCAAGGAGTCTTCGTAGTCGGAGTCGTAGGAGGTTGGTTGTGATATGTTGTGATGCCATGGTATGATGGCAATGAATATGACATTTATTGGGATGTAAGTCATGGGATTTAATGGGATTTGATGGGATTTGATGGGATTTAATGGGGATTTAAATGATTTAACTGGATTTAATGGATTTGAATGAAAGGTAATAGGCTTTTATGGAATTTGATGGGATTTAATGGGGATATACCCAGCAATAGTGGGGATGGAATGGGGGTTACCCTTCACATAGCTATGGAAAATCACCATTTGTTTATTGGTCGCCTCGAGTGTGCAATTCAGCTTGTTGAATTACCAGATGGTAAATATATTATTATATTATATTATATTTAAACATTCCATTGTTGATTGGTTATGAAATTGAGGGTTACAATTACACTAAGAAAATTCTGCCTCACTCGGGATTATGAACGAACCCATAGTGGGATACCTCTCAACTAGCATTCTGAGATCGGAGGTACTTGTTATGGTTCAACTCGTTTTTTTTACCATGAAAGTTTTGATGGATCTTCGCGGTTGTCTGCGAAAATTTCAGGTGCACGCTTAGCCTCATTTGTTTCTCAGGGCTTCCATATCCGTTTTCCGACTTGATACGGAGATGCTTTTCAAGGGTGGAGATGTATGAGCTATCTAGTCACTGCAAGGTTGTTGGTTTTGGTGGTTTTTGGTCTTGATTTTCACCAGAGTCTCTCACCTGACTTTCAACAAGTTGTGGATGCCATATTCCAGGCACGGGCCATGACACAAAAGTATAGAAGTCAGGATTTTCTTGGCAGGTTCAGACAATGGTTGTTTATGGTTGTTTGATGTTGATGGTTTATTGGAAAGGTCAGATTTTACTTGGACATATTTGGACACTTTGCAAGTTGATTTGCACAGGCAATGTTGGTAAAGAAATACAAATGAGAGACTATATACAATGGAAAAGTACGAGATTTCAGGAGGGATTTCACCGACAGGTCCCGATCACGATCCCGATCAAGACAACGAAAGAAACGATCAAGAGAAAGACGCAAATAAATCGATTGAAAATATAGTGCATACGAATCTGAAATTCTGAAATAAATATATATTTTATTGAAAAGAAATAATTAAGAAATATGTCGATTATTGGGATTTGGAATAATTTGGAAAATAATAATATATTTTTTTAAAAATAATAGTGTTTATTTATATATTAAATATTTATTGCCAACCTTGCTAACTCGTCGCTAAGCTCTTCGCCAACTGCCCAGCTTAGTGCGCACTGCTAGACGTCAACCTGCGAGTTGCCTAGCTCAATGTGCACCGCTGGACTTCAACCTGCGAACTGCCCAGCTCAGTGTGCACCGCTGTACCTCAACCTGCGAGCTGCCCAACTTAGTGTGCACCACTGGACCTCAACCGGGGACCTGCCCAGCTCAGTGTGCACCGCTGGACCTCAACGACCAGATAGAATGCCAGAAGATATGCCAGATAGAATGTCAGATAGAATGCTAGAAGATATACTAGATAATATGCAGAAGATTTGCCAGATAAAATATCAGAAAATATACCAAAACATATGCCAAAAGATATGCTAAATAAAATGGCAGAATGCCAGATAGAATACCAGAAGATATGTTAAATAGGATGTTAGAAATTATATTTGTATTAAAAGATATAAATATTATAATGGGAATTATTTGGAATAAAATAATTTAAAATTATATTAATTTATATTTTATAATTTTAAAATATAAATAAATATTCTTAATTATTTTATTTAATTATTTAGTAGTTATTTTAATTGTAAGGTATATCGAATTACCCTAGGATAGATAGTAATTATTTTAGGTATTAAATTTTAATGGTATAGTGATTTAGATATATAATTTATTGAAATTGTTAGAAAATTTAAATTATATTCTTAGGTTGTATTTAGTTATATTTGGAATTAAAATATGGGGAACCTTCTTAATTTAATATATATTATTATATTTTAATTTG